GCAGATTCCTGGCCTGTAGATGAGTGTAAACTGCAGATTCCTGGCCTGTAGATGAGTGTAAACTGCAGAGTCCTGACCCGACGAAGTAGCTTGTCTGTGCTGGCTCATTTTTTTGATAGTCGATGGCACTCTTTTGCATGTGACTAACCTGTTTGTCCACCATGTGGAGGAGGAGCTTATAAGGCTGAGTTCACCTGAAACTCATCAGACTGAAGAAGTCTCTTGGAGGAGAGACGAAACGTTTCACTAAAGAAGAACAATCCAGAGGACCTACTGATTTTTTTCTTTTGATATTTTCTACCTGGATTACTGAGATGCATCAGGACACCAAAGACTTGTGCTTCGCTCGTGTTGTGAGCAGGCACACTGTCCAGAAGGCAGTAGTGGCTAACACCAACACAAGTACAGTAGTTCAACCAATCCTACCCAACTTGATTTGTACAGCACTTTTGCAGTACAGTAAACCAAAGTGCTGTACAGAATCAACATTTCAACACAGCTCATACAAAAACAAATTCAATCAAAAAAACAGAAAAAATAAAAAAAGCAAATAAAAAACAATGAAATGCCTGAAACCTAATTTAAAATCTAAAATAAAAAACATTTCTACAACTAGAAGCACTTGGAGAGTGCAAACCTCCACCAAGACCAATTTTCCCCATCCTGTAACAGAGTTACAAAGGGGTACACCAATACTACAGTGCCACCTGCTGGACACTTTGAAACCCACGCCCTGTGAAAGCATCACAGCTTTGCTGATCTCAGAGTGTTCAAAGAAAAACAATTCCTGTATCCGCATCATGATCCGGAACATCACCAAAATTTAAAGGTGTGTTACTTGAGCCAGTACCCACATGTGGTAAAAATGTCATGACAATCAGTACACAAGTTTTTGAGTAATGTTGTCCACAGACAGAACAACAGACCGACAGACAGATGGACAGACATATGCGACAGAAAATTTTACCTCACCCTTGGCAGAGGTAAAAATAAAATCTAGTATAAATGGACAACACAACCCCTCACACAGTGTCAAAACCCAAATTAAATGGGTTTTAAGACGAGTTTTAAAAACAGCCAGTGAAGAGACCTGTCTGAGGTTCAGTCCAAAGTTTAGGAGCTGTTGCAGCAAAAGATCAATCCCTCCTGAGTTTGTCTGGTTTTGGGGACCCTCAGGATCAGCTGATTTGAGGGAGCAGGAGGGATTATAGGTGTGCATCAGATCAGACAGGTATGGTGGGGCAAGGCCATTCAAAGATTTAAACAAATAAAAGTATTTTAAAACGGATCCTAAAAGGCACAGGCAGCCAGTGGAGTGCAGATAAAATGTGCTCATATGGACATGTGCCAGTGCAGGACCCTCTGCAGTCGGGTGATGGAGGACCCACTAACCCCCAGATAACCAGTTCTGAACAACCTTTGTGAGACACAGAGCTAACTAGCAGGAGCTAATCAGCCTGATCTGAAGGAGTGTTCAGAGGTGAGGTGAAGAGCATCAGAACAAAGGAATGACGATGACAGACAGATTTATACTTTAAACAGTTCTTGTCACCTGTTACCTAAAGGTATGTTTACAGGTGTCTTCAGCCAGGACACACCGCTGTCCCATACCAACTGTTTGTCCCATACTTTATGATTTGTACCCAGTGAATCGAATGCAAGGCTTAAAAAACAGATACTTCTGACAACAAAAGTGTTTAGGTACAGGGGATTGCAAAAGTATTCACTCCTTTGCTAATCTTTTTTATTTTGTTGCTTTAAAACCTGGAGTTTAATTAGAAATTAAATTTGTTTAAAAGCAATAATTCTACAAAAAAACCCAACAACTCTAAACTAATACAGTTAAATGATAAAAAGCGTATCTAAACAAATGGAAGTACTTACATGGTAAAAAGGTGGAAGTTTTTGAGCTGAAATCTTTGAAAAATACAAACAAACCATTATATTATGAGTCCATTCACACAATTTAAGTTCAGTTTCAAGTTAACTTGAAGTTCTGCTTTTCCTCAGGTTTCATTTGGTCGTGACTTTGAGCAGCAGTTGAGTTTCTGTGTGGAGGCCAGAGCCACCTTCTGTAACTTAGAACCGGTTCTGGTGCAGCTTATTCACGTCAGTAAGAGTTTTCCTTCAGAGTGCGCTCCCCCACACACACAGCAGCTTCATGTTCAGTGTGTGTGTGTTATTTTCAGACTGTGAACCAGCTGGCCATGGAGACCAGGAGGGTGATGAGAGGAAACCACTCCAGGAAAACAGCAGCGTTTGTCAGAGTGAGTTAACTACAGAGGGCTGTGAGACAGCACAAGGTCCTGTTGTTTTTCACCTGATTATTATTTTATTTCAATTGGTTTTATTATTTTTTCCACCATGTCTTGTAGGCTGAGCAGTATGAAACTTGGTAGTTCTGTAGAACTAGGGTAAATATAGGAAGGTGTAAAGATCCAGATGTGGGCGTGGCAAACTGACTCTCTACCGCCCTCTAAACATCAGCCGCTCTTATGACTCAAACATACACATGTGAAATTTGGTACACAGGTACTTCAGTCCAGTACTGACAAAAAAGTCTCTTGGCACCATATTCTAAAACCTACAGGAAGTCGGCCATTTTGAAAAAAATCATGTTACAACCAAAAGCTCTTTTGTCCTCAAACTTGAATGCATCGACTTCATATTCTTGACAAGTTATTAACCGTGTTGGTTAAGTTGAACGGCATGGGATTTTTCTGAATACGCCCATTTCTACTTGAACATGCTGTTCGGGGTAGCATCCCTGCAAATTGTTTAAACTGTGCAAAAATGTACATGATAGATAGGCATGCAGTCCTGAACATACCCATATGCAAATGTTGTCAATTGACCACTGCGCCACCTAGTGGTAGTAGAAAAATTTAATCTTTCATCTTAACGACTTCAAAATTTTGGTGTAAAGTTTAGACCCTTATAAAAACCAAGAAAACATTCCTTGCTAGCAGCTACCAAAGGGAGTGCCTTGAACAGCTTGGCGACCTAAAATGTGTCTCCAAAAATACATAGCTACCATTTTATAACGTTCTAGAGGGCAGAGCTTCTTAAAACCTGGTACATATTTGGAACTTGTGAAAGATGGGGAGGTGCAAAAATCAAGATGTGCTGGTTACAAATAGTCTCTCTAGTGCCCTCTAACCATCAGCCCCTTCTATTACTTTAACTGTCACAAATTAAATTTGGTACATAGGTTCACTGGTTCAGGCTCTACAAAAAAGTCTCTTGGCACCATTTTCGAAAACCTACAAGGGCATGCCTCCTAGATACACTTCGTGCCACTGGTGCATGCTAATACATGTAGGTGTCCCTCATTGCCACCAGAAAATGTTGGCAGGGATGTAAATGTTTGTCATAATTATGTCTTATGAATTATTTGACAAAGTCTTTGTTTGTTAAGGGGTTGAAAAGGTGAAAAAACCCTGATTTAGACAACTTATGCTGACTTCTGAAAAATTTGTTTTGACTGTTTTACTCCCATTGGCTATAAATTTGATCTGCTAGCATTACAGTATGTATAGATCCAAGAGGTTTCCCCATCTTCAGCTTAAACATCTTTATTGTTGGACAAATTTTTCAAAAGTTGTCTAAAATGTTAGAATGTGCCAGGGCCTTTACCAAAGTGTGAGTGAGTTGGTTGATGCCACCAACCTTAGCTGGGCTGTGAGAGGTCAAGCCTTTCCTCTGCCTACATCCCCCAGAATGCCATGCGGTTCTGGAGTTCAGTTGAAATTCTCAACATTCAATTTAACAAGTTTTCCATTGATATTGATCATGTGTCTATCACGGCATACACTCACCGGCCACTTTATCAGGTCCACCTGTCCAACTGCTCATTAACGGAAATATCAAATCAGCAGCAACTCAGTGCGTTTAGGCATGTAGACATGGCCAAGACGATCTGTTGCAGTTCAAACTGAGCATCAGAATGAGGATGAAAGGTAACAGTAACTCAAATAACCACTCGTTACAACCGAGGTCTGCAGAAGAGCATCTCTGAAAACACAACACATCAAACCTTGAGGAGGATGGGCTACAGCAGCAGAAGACCACACCAGGTGCCACTCCTGTCAGCTAAGAACAGGAAACTGAGGCTAGAATTCACACAGACTCACCAAAACTGGACAATAGAAGATTGAAAAACATTGCCTGGTCTGATGAGTCTGGATTTCTGCTGCAACATTCATATGGTCGGGTCATAATCCGGTATCAACAACATGAAAGCATGGATCCATCCTGCCATTTATCAACAGTTCAGCCTGCTGGTGGTGGTGCAGTGGTGTGGGGGATATTTTCCTAACACACTTTGGGTCCATTAGTACCAATTGAGCATCGTGTCAACACCACAGCCTACCTGAGTATTGTTGCTGACCATGTCCATCCCTTTATGACCACAGTGAACCATCTTCTGACCGCGTCCATCCCTTTTTGACCACAGTGTACCATCTTCTGACCATGTCCATCCCTTTATGACCATAATATACCACCTTCTGACCATGTCCATCCCTTTATGACCATAATGTACCATCTTCTGACCATGTCCATCCCTTTATGACCATAATGTACCATCTTCTGACCATGCCCTTCCCTTTATAACCATAATGTACCATCTTCTGACCATGTCCATCCCTT